TGTCTTCTCGTTGTGTTATGTCACTCCCTGGCCGATCATACCGATCAGGCGGCGATGATTAGTAGAGCGACCTCAATAAAGAAACCTACAAAGCTTACATACAAGTAACCGGGCATATCTGCTTCATATTACGCGTGGCTACCAGCTCAAGAAGATAAGCTGGCACGCCACATTAGAGAAACGAATGTTTCAGTCACGTATACGTATCGTAAGAAAAAGTAAGAAAACGGTGCTCTGTAAACCTGCCTTTAGTGCCAATGCTGCCTAGATTTTCCGTGGTGAGCTGTGAGTATTCTGAACATTCTCATAGCGATATCGTCGTCTGTGGAAGTTATCGATGACGGCAAAGTGATGTTTCACAACTTTGAAAACGAGTTTTTTAAGTCAAAATCTTCGCTTCAGAATGGAGGCGAAGATTGAACTTTGTGATATTGTAACAAATGACAGACGATGAGGCAGGAAAAAACAAAATGTACTATAGATATAAATTGGGCGAACTTATGCCAGAAACGAAAAAGAACACACGTTAAAAAAGCAGCAGCGAGCGTAGACGGCGGCAGTAACAATCTATGAGGTGTCGGCGTAACAGCTGGCTATCGCGAGAGAGAATCGGCAAATAAATCGGCAGTACGGCGCTTGACTATTTATCTACTATCCTCATCATCTCAAATATTCGACCTAGAATGTTCGAGTAACACATAAGCCGAGATTGACTAAGCAAGGTCATTCTGGCATTCTTGTTTTTTACGCTTGCAGTAAGAGTGTAAGCAAACCTTCGAGTTGGAAGGAGAAGCGTATCTTCTCGATCATGCACGCGGTAATAATGTGGAGCCGTGCGCAGTGTACGCGACCTTAGAGCTTATTTTCCGTCTCTGTCAACAAGGCTACCGGGGTCACCGAGAGGCGTAGGGTAGTGACGTCGGTAGTATTTGGAAGATGAGGAGTCGACGGAGGATGGCAAGAAAATACAGGAGAAAGGATGTAAAACAAACGCAGAAAAAAATAGGTGTCAGGAAGCGCCGCAGGGTCTGTTCAAAAGAAATTGAGGGAGGGGGGAGGGGCTGGAGGGGGGGGGGGGTGTTGGTAGCAAAGAAAGGGGATATTCTGTCAGCCAAATCTCTTAATATGCCTTTCCGAAATTTCTGGGTGCTATTTTGGAGGCTATGATCTGGACATAGAGAGATTGCCTCATCCTTACCCCTTTATTTATCTTGCGTCCTTTTTCGACACCAATGGGGAGACGGGGGTAGAAACGCCCCCCTCCCCATCCTCTTGTTTCGACGCCACTGCCTAGAGCGTTCCAACTGAGCGACGACTAGTAACAGCTCAGTGTGCAATTTTCGGAATAATAGTTCTAGAGCTTCTGGAATCAACCCCTTTCAAAATTCACGCGCCGGTTGATAGAAGATCCATCTGTACAGTGGCGTATCAACCGACACCGCTGAACGTGCAAATAGCACGAGCGGGTAAATTCGACTTGTGTTCCCGCTGCACGAGGGCTTGTGCAGCCGAGACGCATTCGAACGGGAAGAGCTCGCGCTTGTGTCCGCCATTCTGCAGGGATTTTACGGCTTCCAACAGAGGGCACACTTTCGAAAAAAGTCTATTAAAACGGTTCGCGCACCATAAACCTACGCGCGGCCGTGACAGATCTCCAAGTGAGAGGCGTGTGCCAGGACTCGTAGTATGCAGGCGCGTTCATTAACGTCCTTTTATAGTTCCTAACCTTGACTTCCGGGTCAGGATTATCAGTTGTGAACGACAAATTCTATGGTGCGTGTTTGAATTCACGGTGACAAGGTTTAGTATGCATGATAGAAGCTGGGAGTCCTCGCATTCCTAAAACACCACCGTACATATTGACAACCTCACACATCTATACCTTCCGTCGGTGAAAGCAGAATGAATCCGAGTTTGGCTAATCTTGGAAAGCCGACCACACCGATGCTTTTAGTAGCCTATGTGGCCAATATTCACTCTTTAGAAGAAAAAAAAAGTAGACTAAGTTTATTCGGGCGATAGGGGTAGAAATGCCCGGAGGCGAAATCCGCCCGAAGGCGGACAACGCCACTCGATTGGTTCTGATCTAGCCACGTCGGGCTGCATTAAATACTTTACTATACTCTGTTTCACCTTATGATGTTCCGCAGGGAAAGCTACAAGCGCGAGCTCGTTGCTCTGGGGCACATCTCGGCGGTACAAGCTCTCGTGGCTTAAGAGCGGCTGCCAGCGCTATCAACTCGCGCTTCCAGCCTTCCCTGCGGTACAACATAAGGTGAAACGAAGTATATGAGGAATAAAGGACGCTCCTCGAGAATAAAACGAAAAAAATGAAAGCCGTTTACAATTCCCTGTAACGCCGGTTAGAGCGCAGCTCTTGAGGAGGAAGATGGAAGCGTACTGAGGGATAGGTGACTCCTTGAGGTCACGTGACCTCAAGGGGGTCACGCGACTTCAGGGGGTCACGAGACCTTTGGGGGTCACGTGACCTCGGCGGTCACATGACCTTAGGGGGTCACGTGACCTCAAGGGGTCACGTGACTTCAGGGGGTCCCGTGACCTCAGGGGGTCACGTGACCTTAGGGGGGTCACGTGACCTCGGGGAGGGGGGGGGAGGGTCACGTGACCCCCCCCCCCCCCGGTTACGCCAACGCCGACGCCGACGCCGACGGCGACGCCGACGCCGACGGCGATGCCGACGCCGACGCCGACGCCGCTCAGGCTGGAAACGGGCCCCTAACAGCTGCGCTCTAAAAGATGACAAAGAAGAACCGAGGAAACACGCGTGAAGGCGCCCGCGGTAGCGTCTTCGCATGCGCGACCCCGTCATCCACATGGCATACCGTGGCATTGCCTGGTCACGTGCTCTGGAGCCGAGAGGGGGTGAGATGGCTTGGGGAAAAGGCTACGCCAAATAAAGCGCTCCACCAGAGGAGGATTTTCTGTGGCCGTCGTTCTGTCCAAGATAAACGAGGAGAGTGTATTGTGTTCACCTTATAGGCACTGGCGGCCATAGCTGTGTTCCCGACTGTTGAGCCCGTTCTGAGGGTGTTGACAGCTATTTTGCAACGTGCATTCCACACCATTAATATTACTGGTCTTAGCAACGTATTAATGTGAGCTCGTTTTGAGGTTGCGCTCTAAACTGCACCAACAAATCCGGCGTCCTGTGAATATCCTCATTAGACTTTCTTTTATGGGAGCCGCCAGCTTAAGAATTGCGGCGCTAACGACGCCGTCAGGTGGCTTAAAACTTGAAATACGGGCTGGATCTGGCAGCACAGCCGCCTGAGTAAGCAACGGAGCGGGTATGGGGGGATCTTGACTAGACTTGTCTCTGATGGGCTACAATAACTTGTCTAGAACTTCTCCAGTTGAATCCAGCTGGCTAATGACAGGCCGAAAGGTAGTCACCTATACTCTGTTTCACCTTATGATGTACCACAGGAAAGACTACAAGCGCGAGCTCCTTGCTTTTATGCACATCTCAGCGGCACAAGCTCTCGTGCGTTAAGAGCAGCTCCCAACGCTATGAGCTCGCTCTTCTAGCCTTAGCTGCGGTACAACATAAGGTGAAATGGAGTATAGCCGCCTCAGAAGAACAAGGACGAAAACGATTGGATGGTTTGATTGAGTTTCCGCAGCGAAGGTATATGTAAGCAGTTTAAAGGGACCATGAAATGATTTTAAAATCGAATTTCATTCACCGCACGTCGTAAAAGGTGTGAAAAGAAACACAAAAATACAAAAATAGGGAGCCAAAAAAAATTATTTGCTATAGAACTTTTAAAAGAAAACTGGACTCTTTTGCGCCTTCTTTCCTTCGAAAGCTCTCTGCCTTTTCACTACGATGCATCCGCGGAAACGGAGCACGTCAGCCGAATCCACGTCGCTTATTGGGTAAGAGCCTACCTCACCAGCACCCCGATCGTAAACAATAAATAGCCGGCGAATGTTTCCTAAAAGTTTTGTTAAATAATATTCAGATCCACATTTTGTAGCATAATTAGAGATGTGTGGCGAAAATTGCCAAATTTGATAATGCTGAGAGCCAAGCGCCATCTATAGTGTGGTAAACGAAGCAACTACTGCGCGTGCGCAGCAGAGCAGGACCGACTTCAGCGCTTGGGCGGCTTGGGTCGCGTCGACCGACGAGCGTTTATTTCCTTTGATTTCCTTCCCCTCAAAACTCTGACTGACTGAACGTTTGTTTTTCTACGTGTTCTTCCCGCGCGTGCTGACTTCAAGCAGCAAGAGAAAAAAGTACTTAAAACAGACCACAACGAACAAGAACGCTGGATCCACAAACACCCGAGAAAAGCGACAACGGCCACGAATCCACCGACTCCGACGAAGCGAGCTGCTCAGAATATAGGCCTAGCAGGCACTCCGACTCGGCGCAGCGTTGCTTCGTCGCAAGACCGTCTGCCTACGACCGGCAGGCGTGCTGAATGGAATATGCCCGCGCTACCCTTGTGGACCCTTCCCGTATTATAGTTTGATCGCTGACCTGAATTTTAGATTAAGAGGTGAGGTCAATCTCTTCCCCTTGTTTTCCGAGGCAGTGTTGACGAACACTCGTCGAAAAGGGACTCTCGTCGATTCTATCTTCTTGTTTAGTGTGATATAGAGCTGAAATAAACGCCGTATGGATTATCTTCACTGAAAAAAATGACCGTGAAATAAACAGTCACCTGACCGTGAACGTCACGGGGCGCCCGCCGTAAAAAAAAATACGGTATGTTGACAATGTTTTTCGAGTGAAAAGGGTACGGCGACGGGAGGAAAGAAGTGGAACGAGAGAAGGCACGGCGACGGAAGGAAAGAAGCGGAACGCCCCAAGCGAAGCGCGCTACACACTCCGCACCACGCTCCAGACACACGCACGGCACGCACGTGATGTGTTGGGGGCCTTCTGCGCCTGCGTCGTCGGGCTGCTCTCCAGGTCGCGGCTCGCGCCTTGACCCTCGCCCACGGCCCTCGCCATCGCGCTGCCTTGTCTGCTTTCGCGCCGTTAGCGCCGTTCCCCCCGTCGGGTCGCCATCTTTTGTTTCCCGAAGGAAGAAAACAAAGCGAGGAAAGTTTGCGGTAGGGAGCACGACCGTGGCTACCAAGACGGCTGACGGCGCAGTACCCGAGGCGTTTGGCGGGCCCGATAGTAAACGAACATAACGTGAGTATCATTTTGAATATGAATGTGGCAAGCACGATCTGATTCTGAGAAAATTAATGCCCGTTGCCAGCAAGATCGAGAAAGAGCCGACACCGACAAACCGGCAGCACGTGCATTGACGGAGTGCATCGCTGGCCGGCTGTCGATCGTCGTTCGCGCTCCTTTTCGGGAAGGGAGCACAAGCGATTGAGAGCCAGCCAAAGATAGCTTCAGATTAATACTGCGCATTTTCGCGATTTGTCGGTCTTAGCTCTTTTCTCGCTTTAGTGAGGCGACGGCTTGAACAACCATGTTTGTTTGCCGTGTTTGTTCAAAGGGGTCAACCACGTTGGTCGAATATGTGCGTCATTATGACAGCCACGAGTTCGGAGCGCGGCAGATTCCATGTATGCGCGCAACTTGTTGTTTGCAGTTCACTACTTATGTAGGGCTCAGATGTCACATCTTACGGTTTCATAAAGGTCAACTGCGCGCGAATGGACCTCGGCTCGATTTAACGGGTGACGTAAACTTAACATTCACGCTCCAAAAGAACAAGCAATACTAAAGCAGTTGCACCCTACCAGTACAGAAATGATGTATTTAAATACTCTTTCTTTTGTCGGACTATTATTTAGTGGAACACCCTGCCTGAGCAAGTTGTCAATTGTTGTAGTCCTTAATTATTTGAAGCACAGCTGAATGAATTGTTTGGTTAAATTTTGCATGTGGAAATGTTTATTTTTTGAGCATGCGTGGGTTGCTGCAACCTACCTGCGCTCGCCTCACACGGTGAGTGCATGATTGAGTTATTTCTGTGTGTTGTTTTTTCCCCTCCTGTGTAGAACGACAGGGCCACAGTATTTCAAACGAATAAAAAAATAAATTTCCAAATAAAAGCCAAAAGAAGTATGTCAAATCCTAGAACAATAAAAACCTAAAAACACTGATATCTAAATATAAAGCAGGTCTCAGAGTTTAAATCAAATACAAATCATTTGAAGTGTTTCAAATGTCTGTCAGACAATTCATGAAATGGCTACCTATAGCCCATAGCAACAACACACATTTCCGAAGTTGCTAGAAGTGACAAATCATTTGATTTCTTTGCAGCCAATAGAAGTATGTGCTAGATGTAACGATACAGTGTGTATCCATGCGAATGCGGTGGTCCTGTGCAACTGGGGAGAGAGAGGGTCTTCGAGGTTCCTGTTCAGTTTTGGTGGCACATGTCTCCCCTCCACTAACCAGGGAACATTTGCCTAGGCTCCTTCACGGCCCATCCTCTCCCTTTCTGGAGTAGAATTCTGACTGGCCTACACTCAAACAAGCTCACTCATAGTGGAGGGAAGGCAAATCGAGCCAAGGATCTCATCTCCTGTCGGCAACAAGTAATGTTAGAAGTGTTTGAAATGTGGGGGGGAGACTGGCAGTGAGGGTGGGAGGAACGAAGCTGGGCCCCTTCCCTTTTCCCTTTTTGTTTTTACAATTAATTGAAATGTCCACGATCTGGAGGTGCAGCCCAGCCCCATTGTTTCAATGCCTTGTCAGCAACTCTACTTATCTGAATGTTTACTATTTTCTCATTTTTTAAACTTTTGTAGGGGATGATCTGTGGACTGCCCACGAGTACGCACTCAGCATTGATGGCAGGCTCATGGTTCAGAAGATACCAGACGTCCCTACGGCATAGGCTGCGCACTCTTTGCGAGTCACTATTGCTTTAACATCTGCTACGCTGAAGGCCTGTCATCGACCCTTGAGTTCCTTCAGAGGTAATTTCCTGTTCTGTGATTTTGGTATATGTATGTGGATGCCTAGTAGGACTCCATACTTTTTATCTATATCATTTCCAGGCTTATTGTTCCTATTGAAATAAAGCAAACACCTTGCACATTTAGTGTCATAAAAGACATGGACCCACAGTTGGTACCAGGGCCGTACCCAGAAAGAAATTTCAGGGGGGTGGGGGGGGGGGGGGTGGTGGTTTCGGGGACAATGGCGGCCATTTTGAAAATGTCTATTGTCCTATTTTCGCCTATGAATCATGTACATCGGTGGCATATAATGGAGAGTTATAGCAAACCGGAGAACCGGTCCCGGTTTGGTACCCAGTAGCCGACCGGCGCCACTGCCCGTGCGCAGAGGTGGAGATTAAAATCGGATGGCTGCAAGTGCACCGACCATGTACCAGCACTGTACCGGGGCTGGTCCTCCGCTTTGCTAAAAAGGTAATAAAAGGATACTTTCAAATCGCTTGTAACCTAAAGAAGAAAAACTGTTGGGAATTTAATTCCTGGTAATGGAAAGGAATAGAAGTTGGTGCATAACTTTTGCCGATTCACCTGGACGACCCTGTGTTTTATGAGAAGTCGCTAGTTGCCTTCGCCATGCCGCTACCACCAAGCCTAGAGGACCTCCGACCTACCACCGACTGCCAGCGAAATAATTTTTCACGTTCAGAGCAATCGCTCTCGTGAAGTTTTAAACCCCAGTTGCAATTCGTATCCATTCTATTCGTACTTAGGTTGAGGGCACAAACACGAAATCTGCGCATATCTTGAGTGCTTTGCGGGGTTTGGTACATCAGGGCCGTACCCAGAAAAAAAATGTCGGGGGGGGGGGGGGGGGGGGTCAGAACCCCCTAACCCCCCCCCCCCTTAGTTACGGCCCTGGTTGGTACCTTCCTTCTCATTTGTTAAATAGAAGAGCACATATCTCGCTGATTGGAGAGCTGTCCCAATTGTTTCCACCAGCTCCAAACAACTATAGCTCCCACATCCTGCACCAATGCTGTACTTTTTAATGAAATTGCACCCGAGCAGAGTCCACAGATTGAGTGCATGCGTTTCGCCGCAAGGCACTGCACATGCAAGATGGAGGCAGGTGAATAAAAACCCTTATCTGCTCTCGCAGTCAATCAAACAGCTTCAATTGCATGTATGCATAGGCCAGTGGTCTTGGTGTTTCATCAGGCAGCTGGACTGGATTGTAATAACAAAGCTCAGAAATCAATTTTAGGGAAACATTTAAGCACAAGCTAACACTGCCTCAACCTGGCTTGTAAAGATGAAATAAACAAGAAAATAAAAAAAAATAGAGCTTATCTTTCAAACTGATTTGCCCCTTCTGACCATTACATGTCATTTTATTGTGCCCATATACAACGAAACAACTCCAGCAATATTGCATATTTTGATATGCTCCCGCTTCTCACTGTAACGTTTTTGTATACAAGCTTAGTGTTTGGTCCCACCTGTTATAACTTGTGGGTCCTCAGGTTAGGAGAGCTGCAATAGGGAGGCATGAAGAGATGCATGCGGCTCACAAGCCGCAGTTTGGACCCACCTGATATTCTCTTTACTAAATATTTGACTTTCTTCTAGTCTCTCCCTTCGGTCATGTATACATATTTGACACATATGACTAAATTGACTAACTTTTCAGGTTACCAACTTGGATGAAATGTTTCTTTTATGACACTGATGCTTATTGCAGAGGTTTCCTGAGCATGAACCCTGACCGTGGCACCAGAGCCAAGCGCTCCAAGTCAGAAGTGAGCAAGAAAGTACTTAACCTGGTCAAGAAAATAGCAGAGCTGGAGTGGAATGTGTGAGGCTGTAAGTATGATTCACTACAGTGTTCACTTAATAAATGGGAAGTGGACATAAGACTCATTTTGAAGAGAAGCAGAAGAAGGTGAAACAATTCAATGAGCGTAAGAGTCCACTGTCACTAGAGAGGAAGAATAATTCTCAGAGATAGATAGATGCAGGGATACATTCACCACTAACGAAGGGTACCTGAAGGTTTTGTAACAGACCACTGTCTTAGCAAACTACAAGCCTTACTCACTGGTATAGTGTGATGTCTGCCAGTGATGGATTTACAAAAAAAATGTTTTCACTTTGTTTTTTGCAAAAAAAGAAAACTTGAATTCGGCGCTTGATTAGTACTTCTCGTGAGTCGGCACCTTTAGCAAATTATCCCTGCTGGATAGCAAAACAATGATATCACACAGCTTATTTTAGAGCAAAATTTCCGGCTGTAGACAGGTACCTTGAAAGGTTAGTTCGTGAAATATTGAAAGCAATTTTGCAACTGTTACCCGTCTGGGAGGGGATGTGATGAGGTAGTTTACAATAAAGGTTCTTCATTGATTCTGGCGAATGAGTGTATAATTTATGAAACGTTTGGGTAAAGTTGCATGAATTCTTTAATGCTGTGAAAAGGGGATGTCAGGTTTCAACAAATAATGTGTTTTGCCAGTCGAGTTTCATGGCAAAGGCCAGTGACTAACTCTCTGGACAGACTGACATGTCACACTGACAGATGCAAATAGTGAATAAATGGTGGTCACTTAGCCATGATCCATGGCATCTAGTCGCCATTGTTCCAAAATAATTTGATGACCTAGTTAATAAACATAGAACACCAAACTAGTGCAAAAGACTCCTTAATTTTTATTTTTATTAGTTTATCACTTAAGACTTTTCCCTATTATTTTTTATTATCTTTTTGTGATATATGTTTTTGTGATTTTACTTTTTTCTTTATTGTATTTTTTTTCTCTTCCTGTTATATTAGCATCAATGTTGTCTTTGTCTTCCTCTTTCCTCTCATAAAATGTCAGTTGTAAGTAGTGCTTTGTTTTGTCTCATTCTTTCTGTGTTCGTCTTTTGCGCTGATTTTGTGCATAATTGTTCGCAGAGTCCCACCCAGCTTGTCACCATTCTGGGAATAATGGGATCGCATAACCATCATCTGTGTGTGGTCACCTGTCCATACTGCAAATAGTGGATCGTTCATAGTCAAACGGTCACATAACCACACACGGCATGCATCTGAATGAGCCAAACACATTCTGACCTTTCATAGCTTTTGTGAGCATAATCAAGCTTGCCTAAATTTTTTCTTACATTGTTGTGATACTGCTCATGCCTACATTTCACCACACATTACTTCAGCCCATTATTATAGAAAGCAGTGAATAAGACCCTGCTTCATGGCTGGACCATCGAGTGGGCTTGAGCAAATAATCAAAATTTATTGCTGCTCTGGGCAATATACTATTCAATTTTACTTTTATAAAATTGATACTGTGCTTTCAAGTTTGGGAATTTTCGGCATTATGTGTGGTCTGTCCAATCTAGTTAGCCACCACCGTTGGGCGCACTCTTAACCATACACTTGTGCACCACAAAGAGGTGGTACCCACAGGTTTCACACTGATTCTGCATATCTCGTCTCGCTGTAGCAGAGGCTCATGCTTGGGAAGGAAAGTTGTCATTTAAACATATGGTCCACATGTCTTTGAATAGACAGGGAAGTTGAGAAATGATAATCTGAAAATTCTAAGTTGGTGTAAGATTTCAAAAACCAAGTTGTTTGCTAGTACAGGGTCTCCTAAAAAGTTCACGCACTAACATGGCCCACAAATTTGAACATGTATATTATTTAGTGCATGGATTAAATGATGGAGATGTTAGTATTGTTGATCACAGCGTGGACATATCAAGTAGTAATATTTCTTGAACGGATATATTACTAGTTAAATTTACATGTTGGAATAAACATAAAAATCTTTGTTAAATGCAATTGTTGTGAATAACTATATTACAGAATTTTTGTCCCTAAACTTGTCACTAGTGGTAACACAGGGGTGGGAAAGGAAAGCAGGCATTGTCTTCTAGTTTTGACAGGCAAACAGATGTATCTTAATGTAGTATTCACAACAGAATGAATAGGAAGTGTGCTTTCGAAATCCAAAACTTCCTTTTGTTGCTTGAAAATATATTTTTGGCTGGCCCAGAAGGTGCTCCGAAATTACTCTGACCGTTTACATCACATCAGCACTAGCTTGGAGTTACTTTCCTTGATTTTTTCAGTCTGTGGTTTTCTACTTATTCTGTTCTGTTTGAATATGTCTGTTGAAGGTCGGTCATCCTATGTGGGAACGAGGCATGCAACATGGAGCTCGAGCTCATTCAACACAAGGTCTTGGCACCAGGAAGATTTCAGCAGCCATAAGCAATGGCACTTGGGTCTAAATTTGGTGAGTATGATAATGATCGAGCACCTAGCTGCCTGTGTGAAAAACAAATGGGGGGACACTTATGCTCGGCCTTAATGTATGACACGATAGCGGGAGGGCAGGGGGTGGAGGAGGAGAGGGGAGGTGGGGACAAGGGCATGGAGGGCAGGAGTGGGGAGGGGGAATCCTATGATCCCTTGCATGCACAAGGGATCGTGGCGCAAAACATCGAGGGGTTTTCTCGACATGCCGACGCTGGACGCCGCTTCTTTTGCTGCATTAACACTATTGGGTTGAAACATAACTTACCTAGCCTCACTTAACTCAAGCATAGCTTTACTACGCTGCCTATAATTACATGAAAAAATGTCTATGTGATGCTAGGAATGAGACATGATTAGCATGCAGTCATATATTTTAAGAGAAATGATGCCATTGCTGTGCATCATTTCATGCATCTTATAGTGCATCTTATACATGGCAAATATAGGTCGATAAAATGAGAAGCATGTAAGTGGCAGCTGCATCACAAGCTGTCCATGTTTATTTTGGATATCATCTCAAATTGAAGTGCTGAGCACACTGCTTCAACCATTTGTTTATCTGAAGTGACACTAGGCACAGTGCACAGAGATTCTACTGCCAGCTAAGCCTGACGTTCGCAGCTCGCCCTGATGCAACCGGCCACGACTATTCATATCTCTTACGGAGTGAACATGTCAGAGAAAGTTTAATGGTGCCTTTTCATTAGTGCACGGTGGCAAGAGAATTGCAGTCTCTGGGGGTGGGGAAAGACTAGTTCTGTGTTAGTGCCAACAACAGTCAACCAGCTTAACTAGATGAAGAGAAGGAGTAAATTTCTATGTGTGCTGCTTAATTAATGTCAACCCCTGATTTTGAAAACAAACTCACTCAGCTCTTAAGTTGACAAATGTCTGTCTAGTAAGTGAATAGTAGGCTTTCCCATAAAATAGCTGTATTTTTGTGCAGCATTCTCTGCCAAACTTTGTGCATATCCTCTCATTCATTTGCCCAGGTATATAGGGGCTGTGCTGGGATACTGATATGGTATTCGAGAAAACCAGAATACATGTACTACATGGCTAATATATAGCTACTGAGATATAATGAAGTTTGACTTGATTAGGAGAAGCTAAGCTAGAGGGGGGGGGGGTTCAGTTGTCACATAAAGCTTCTTTCAAACATCGTAAGCAATATCAGCATCATTAGTTTCTTTGCACAGTGAATAAAGCGTGGCTAACATTTTACAACATATCTGTTAAATTGCTTCTATTTTGGCACATTTATATATGTTATATTGATGACTGGTTTCTTTCTTTTCCAGATCAGAGGGTATATGGACCTGGGTCCTCATCATCCAAGTAAATAAATGTTCTGTTTTTATTTCTATCCTACACATAAAATATGCTGTGTTCTGGCTTAATTGCATTTGCATGTACATACACAACGATCGCATTGCAGACATGAAGACCACGCTACAATTACAATAAACAGCATGCCACATATATTACAGGCACAAAATGGCTAACCTAAGGAGACTTCAGGACCCATTGTTTGATTCATTGTCTGTTGACCAGTAGTAGGAAGTAAATCGAAGCAGCAAAACATGTGCGGTGAAATGCTAAGCATGTCGCACAATGCGGTGGGAAGATGATAGAATTCGACAATGCTTACTTATGTCGAATTTTGCATTCTTTCTGACGTGTTGTACGAAGTGCTAGCGCTTCATTGTGCCAGCATTTTGCACCTTCAATTTACTTCTTACGATGGCCAACTGGCAGTGAATTAAATGGTCAACATTTTTACGGTGACCATTAAACTAGCAGTCAGTTGACCGGCAAATAAACTGCCACCATGCCGTGATCTTAGCGGCAGTCAGTAAATCTCGTTTACGGCCTGTTCAGCATCGCCCCGTAAAATTAACGGTATCTTTTTTTACTGCGACCGCTTAATTTACTGGGAGATTACGGTGAGGCAGTAAATTTGAATTTACGGTCTGCCGTATAAATTACGAGAAGTTGCTGGCAGCCAGAATGCCAGTCAACTTACCGTAATTTTGACGGCCCATTTTTTACAGTGTTCGTAAGACGGTATGCACACTTTGTTATTGGTATGCCGTTTTTATTCTGACAGACTGCACGTCACTGTCGAACTATAACAGTTCGTGGGAGGTATACGTGCAATGCCGGTCCAACCTTTCTTTGCCGAGTGTCAGTATCGAGTTGCAATCGTAAACGATCGGTCCCGAAGCGCCTACCAACAGTGCGAATTCAGCACTTCCATCAAACGCGCGCGTCCGCTCCGAGCGTGAACAGGTATTTACGTGGCTCTTGCTGACACTCTCGTAGTTCAAACGTATATTTTAGAGCGCAGCTCTTAGGGGCCCGTTTCCAGCCTGAGCGGCGTCGGCGTCGGCGTCGGCGTAATCGGGGGGGGGGGGTCACGTGACCCCCCCCTCGAGGTCACGTGACCCCCCCCCCCCCCGAGGTCACGTGACCCCCCGATGTCACGTGACCCCCTCCCCGAGGTCACGTGACCCCCCTCCCCCGAGATCACGTAACCCCCCGGGGTCATGTGACTACCCGCAGGTGACGTGCCCCCCACAGTACCCTTCCCTACTCCTCCTCAAGGGCTCCGCTCCAATTCGGCGTTACAGGGATTTGTAAACGGCTTTCATTTTTTTAACGTCGGCTCGCTCCTGCATCACCGAGGCCGCGAAAAACGCCGCGGCAATTCGTTTCCATCTACGTCGCTTTGCAAACGACTGACACCGGCCGCCTTTTACCAACAATGACAGTTGGGTTGACTTCTGGAGTCTTCACCGGAAGACTCGCTGCACTTCCCCACAGGCATACCGGCGTATGGGACTAGTCCCATGCTGTCGCTGTAGCGCAACATATCTAATTGAATTTCGCTCAGCTGCGATGTGGCGATGGAGGCGCCGATTCAGAAAATACGTCGGTGACATCAGTGCAGTAAAACCTACCGGCGCACCCCAACTCGTCGCCGCTAGCGCTCCCATTTTCCTACTGCCGAGAGAACTTCCGGTTCCGGAAACAGTGTACGTCATGGCTTGTTTTGCGGTCAGTTGGAGAGAAAGAAAAAGTCGATATTTCATTAATTTTTTGTGTAGAAGTTAATAAACCGAGACGAAAACGGATGCCTGTTCGGCCTTCAGTGAACATTGACGGTTTAATGTAAAAAATATCTGGAAAAAGTAAAAAGGTCATTTCATGGTCCCTTTAATGTATAGTCAATGCAGGCGAGCTCCCGGCGCTTGATGGCTGCATCTTGAGTGGTGGCACGTAGACGTATTCAACCCCTTCACATGCCGTGAAGTAATAGCATACCTTGCAGAATTAACCTAATCTGAGTACCTGCACCGGGTTGGAATCGGTCCTCTCGCCGTAGTCGAAGTAATCGTTGTTCAGTAAGCCAGGTTGCGCGTGTTATTGCGTGCCGATAGGTAGACGACGAAGCAGAGCACACTTTCCGTCTGGGCTCAAGAAGGAATGGTAAATGTCGACACGTCGTTCCGCAATCCGGAGGCGGCCAGCTTAGTCCAGTGTACGTAGCGCTGCTGGCACTTCTCCGGAACTTGACCGTTTCTAACGGCTTCGTTTCCTCGCTTGATAAAATTAGTGGAGAAAACGTCACTGCAACCGAAATGTTCTGCCCGTTTGGACTGGGAGACGGAATTACACGCGACCTTCGCTGCCGCTGAAGCTCAATCAACTCAACGATATTTATTGAACAACGCGCGCACGCGCGTTGTTCCGCCGTATTTTTTTTCTGCTTCGTTTTTCGCGCACGTTGCGTGCGCGAAAAACGAAACAGAAAGAAGATTAGGCGGAAGTGCGGAACCTTTCTCCCCTCTGCTTGGAGAAGGAGAAAAACGTTTCGCTCCTCCCTTCTTCTCGCATCCGCTTGGGGGCGCGTCAGTAGAAAGGAGGAAAACGCGCCGTTCTTACCAGTCTTGGGCAGTAACTAGTTACTAGTAACGCGTTACCGGTAACTAGTTACTTTTTTCGGTAACTTTTAACTGTAACGCGTTACTCTTTAATACTGGTAACTTGTAACTGTAACACTGTTACTTTTTTATTGGGTAACTGTAACTGTTTAGGCCGTTACAGTTACTTTTTACTATAAAATTAAAATTCCTGGCTGACAAAAAAAAAAAGAAATTGAACAAACAAAAAAAATTGCCTCGTTTTGCCCACGACGGACCATAGACGAGACGGACGAGCGAGCACGAAACCGGGAGATTAAGGAAGCGGCGCCTGCGGTGGTAGGGGAGGCAAACAATGTGTGTTTCACCGACTTTGGCTCAATCTTCTTCTGTGGGGACCGTCTGCGGGTGTCGGTGGTCATGCGACATGTCTCCGAGTATTCCGTCTGGGCTGTGTCTGCCCTTCCCCCTCTCCCTTCCTCTTTGTCAGATATGTCCGCGCTGTACGTCGCTTTTACACCCAGCCGGTCGCCGCTCCCTCTTCGCTATGAGTTTCCAAGGAAGCCGTCCCCATATTAGGCGGAAAGTCGGCGCTTGTTTAACTTATTCTTTCTCTTCGGAACCGCTCGAGTAAATTGCCTTTCCCGCTGACAGCCCCAAGAAATACTCCAATAGACGTTTTGTTGTGGATTCTCTGCAGTGCTCCAGCTGAAGCGATTACCCGGAAAACACGTGTTTTTAAGAGAGAGAAATTGCTGTTTTGAGGCGCGTGTGCGGACTGATCTTCCACAGTTGGCGTTTGAGACAGAGGCGCCGCGGTGGTCGTCGTACACACGTAGAGCACCAGAAGGCCTCACTTTGTCTCCTTTCCCCCTATATTCTTCCAAAGCTGTTTGACCTGCTATATTTAAGCCTGCTTTCGAGTATATCCCATAAGGTAATTATGTGACCATCTGTGTCCTCTTTGGTCAAGCGCGCCGGCTGAACGCCTGTTCAGCAAAGGACGCGATGTGTTCGCCATCAAGAGAGGGAAGCTCTCCGATGACAATTTTGAAAAACAGTTGATATTAAGTTATAACAAATATTGCAAATAAGTTATAATCGTTAAAATTCTGAAACGACGAATGACACAAAAAAGAAGCACCGTTCGGTTTTAATGTTTCCTAATTTCTCAGCAGTTCATCTTTCTTCTCACTACAGTGTAACAAATAAAATATTTTTTTTTGTTTATGGTTTCTTGTGTCCAATTTTGGTACTGTAACGAGAAAGTAACGGCGTTACTCTTTCTGCGGTAACTGTAACTGTAACACGTTACTTTTTTAATCCGATAACTGTAACTGCAACAGAGTTACTTTTTCCCCCTAGGTAACTGTAACTGTAACACTGTTACTTTTTACTGGTAACGTGCCCATGACTGGTTCTTACCTTGTTTCACATTGTTTCTTAATGTACCGGGCGTTCGCGAGAAAACCAAATTCTGTTTTTCGCAAAGAAAAAAATAAACATTTGTCAGAATGTAGTGCCACTGGCTCGAGAAAGCTGCAAACGTTTCAGCACAAACCGTTTTCTTATTCAAAACGTATGAGCGATTTTCTAAAAACTTCAATGGGAAAACTACGAATTTTTTTAATTTGAAATTCGATTTCGTTTTCTCCAATTCACGGAACTCTATGGCGCCAGAAAGCGAAAACCGAGGAAAATGGGCCCCATTTTCCCATAATTTTTTTTATAAAATCACTTATAAGTTTTGAATAAGATATTGGTTGGTGCTGAAACTTTGGAATCTTGCTCGAACGGCTGCAGCTACGTTCTGACGGAGTTAGAGCTCTCAGCGATATTTAGTTTATTTCTGCGGTGAGAAAAACTGGGTTCGGTTTTCTAACGGTCTCCCGGTATCTTACGGCGTTTCTGAGACTTCGTCCACACATTTATGTTCATTTATTTTGTATTGTGGAAACTGGCCAGAAGCCTGTCGTCGTCACTTCTTTTTTATCGTTTTACAATTCATTCGTGCCTCTTTCAAGTTACTTTCAACTATTTCACTGGAGGCGCAAAAAAACACAAAAAAACGCAGGTGTAAAAAAAAGGCACGTCAAAAAAACAAACAAAAAAACGCACGTGTAAGAGAAAACGAAATAGACGCAGCAATATCACTGTGTTGTGTTTTTGATTTTTGCAAGGAACCCTATGTGAGGAAAATACAAAGGACTCAGCCAGGCGTTGCAACTTCGAGCTTCTGCTGACGCTGATTTCGCGGCGAGTGGTTTTTAATTAAAAAGTCTCTCTCTAAACGCCGTTTTTCGATGATTTTTTATTTTTTGTAATTCAAGTTTCGGCCGCTTGTGCATCAAGCCCTTTTCACTCAGAAATTTCGGGGAATCGGGTTTCTTGAGTAACGTCTGCAAACTTGATACCACCGGTTGCTAAACCGGTTGCGAAGTCAACAC